CAGTGTATCCAATGTCAGCTTACACCGCATTGCAAATACCTATTAAGACGAGTGGAAATGCGTTGGTCCACTGAGAAATGTTTGCAGCTGATAGTGAAGCTTTTAGTTGTCGGTGAAAGCGTTCTACTAACCCGTTTGCTTGTGGATGGTAGGCTTTCGTTCGGAAGCGAGTGATTCCTAAAAGTGTGGTCAGACAACGAAAAAGTTCAGATTCGGACTGGCGTCCGCGGTCTGTAGTGATGGTTGAAGGGCAGCTGAAATTTGCTGCCCATCGCCCGACAAAGGTGCAGGCCACTGTTTCAGCAGTGATGTCCATGATAGGCACTGCTTCTGGCCATCGGGTGAAACAGTCTACGCAGGTTAAAACATAAGAGTATCCATTTGAATCTGGTAAAGGTCCTACCAAATCCAAATGAACATAGTCAAAACGAACGTCGGAAGTTTTGAAAGAGTCTATGAGACATTTGTTGTGTCTAATCACCCCACGTTTCTTGCAGCTTACACAGGAGCGTGCTCACTTCCCCACGTCTTTATTCATACCAGGCCAGCAGAACCGTTCTGCTATGGGCTTGATGGCTGCACGAACTCCTGGATGAGAAAGTTTGTGCAATGTATTGAAGACGTTGCGTCGATAATGTTTCGGCAAAATTGGGCGATCCCTACCTATAGATGTGTCACACAGGGAGGTTTCCTTACCTGTTCCCATCTGTTTAATGCGCAGCTTGAGGGTTGTAGACGATAACTCGTGCTGAAGATCAGTGTCTTCTTTTTGAAGCTGCGCGAGTTTAAGAAGGTCGACGCCTTGGAAACTGTACAAGGAAGTTTTACGAGACAAGGTATCTGCGACCATATTGTTTGCTTCATAGATGCGTTGAATATCTGAAGTAAACTGCGGAATGTCGTCCGGTTGTCGACACTCAAGTGGTGAGTAATTGTCTGAATAGGAGGTTAAAGGGGAATTAAGCGGTTTATGATCAGTAAAAATAGTGAATTCACGGCTTTCACTTTATTGTTGAGAATACCGAACGCCACAATAAATAGCTAGGAGTTCCCTAACGAATGTACTGTATCTCGATTCAGTATCTAACAACCGTCTCGATAAAAATTCCAAAGGTTGCCAGGAGTTGTTAACCCATTGTTCTAAGACTCCTCCGATTGCTGAGTCGGATGCGTCTACTGCGATGCTAATGGTTGTGTAGTGGCATTGGGCCCTAATCACACAATCCTCAAAGCTGAACGGGAGGAACTTGGCAAAATAGATGCTCAACATCTAGCGCGGAGAAAAATTCAAAGATGAAGAAGGCTGGAACAATGGATTGGATAAATTCAAGTTGATCGGATGGCATGGCTCGGCATTGCAGGCGTGGTCCCTGTCGGATGTTACCTTACATCTTTTATCCATATTAAATATATTGTTCTATCTGTAGCCTAAGCTTGTTCTCCATCATATATTGGTGATTGTTGAGATTCAATGAGTTAGTGTAGACGATGATGTGACTTCCACGTAAGATCTTATAGATGAGGCAGTTATATCATGACAAATCTACAATTTTAGGATTAGGTCTATTATTAGAGCGGTAGTAATATCATAGTAGACCATTATTCTACAGGTGCTTAAGTGTCCAGATGTGCAAGCGTCGTTGCTATGGCGATAAGTTCCTTAACTATGGAGGATGCTTTTCGCACGGCATCGTCCGAATCGATGGACTTCGCATTGCCACAAAGTTGGTCGGTCAGCGGTTTCATAGGTGACGCGCATTTCGGTATGAATCTTCTGTAGAAACGTACAAGGCCGTTAAATGTGCCTATTTACCCAGTGGTGGTCGGTTCTGAGTAATCCAGAAAGGCCCTTTTTTGATTTTCAGGGGTCGGATGCCTTGAGCATCTATAGTTTGTCCGGGGAAGTCAGTTCCGATTTGCCATTTCTGAATGTTCAAAGTAATGCCATGTTTTTGTAGTTGGTTGAAAACAAGATTCAGATGCTGGAGATTCGATTCCTTATCTGAACTTGCTATTAAACATTCATCAACATACGCATGTAGGAAGCTGAGACCTCGAAAAACGTCGTCTATAAATCTTCGGAATGTTTGGGCAGCATTTATAAGACCAAAATGCATTCGCGAAAATTCGTAGAGTCCAAAGGGAGTTATGATGGCGGTTTGTGGAATATGGTCTGTAACCATAGGGATTTGGTTATACGCTTAAACCAAGTCTGTTTTCGAAAAGACTGTCGTACCTTTCAAGGTATCTGTCAAATCGTGAATATGAAGCAACGGGTAACGATCGGGAATTGTTTTCGCATTCAGTCGATGATAGTTACCATTTCGACGCCAACCGTTGCTGTCCTTTTTTGGGACCATGTGCAACGGAGATGCTTATGAGCTTTTTAACGGTTTTATGATACCTATCATGTGGTCGAATTCGTTTTTCGCCAACCTTAGCCTTTCGAGGGCCAGTCGGGGTGTTTTCGAGAATACGGGTGGTCATGTAGTTGTCATGTGATGTGTAACGTTGCTACTTACACACGGCAATTTCGGTTGCGGTTGGTACATCCGAGAATACTTGTCGAGTAGTGGCTGACAGAATGGGTCTATCGTGAGCATAATTGTGACTGTAGATAATCTGCAACCAGAAAAAGTAGTTACGCAAACAGATAAATTAGTGTATCCATCTACTGGCCTCCGTCTCCGCGTATCGATGAATAGATTATGCTGTTGTAGGAGGTCTATATCAATGATTGGCATAGAAACATCTGCAACAACGAAGATCCACTGTATGGGTTTACGTAAACACATGTTAAGGTAAACGTACCTTTTGCCATACGTGTCGATAGGCTTTGCGTTTGCCGCTTGTAGGTTTAAAACTGATTCGTGTGGACGGTGTCGACGAGGTAGCGAACTCCCGTTATCACATCTGTGACGTATAACAGACGGCTATGTTCTCCGGCTACGGTTGCCGTTAACGTGTGCAGGCTTGTAAGCTTCCTGAAATGTATTTCTTGTCGGTCAATTTTGAGTTGGGAAAATTGGAGGATTTTCTGCGATTTCTAGTAGATTTTCCGTACTGCTTACGATACCAGCAACAGTCAGGGTTATCCGTCTCTCGTGGTCTGGCGACAGATCGCTTACGTGAAGCACTTCTTCGCGGGGTGTGCTACCGTTTACGGTCATCACAAAATCGAAGGTAACGGGTCAGCGTATGACATAGTTCCTTGATGTCATTCTCTGTCGCTTGAAACTTTTCTTTGACTGAGGCGACCTCGGCGTAAGAAGATTTGGTGATCTCTAAAATGCGGTCGGCAGATGCAGCCAGCTCGTCTACGGCGTTCTTTTGAAACGAGACAAGCACAGCTTCACACATTGAGGAAGTTTGGATAAGAAAAGTTGTTTGAATAAGCCATCATCGAAGGTTCTTTGGCGGATAACCTCTCTAATTCCTTACAACATGTCTGTCGCTGAACCGTGTTGCAGATCGATATTATTAACGAGTTGATCTAACCTTCGTCGATAGGTTAGGTCTCCGCGTTTAAGAATAGATCGTTTAAGAGTTTCGTAGGATTCGGAAGCATCACTAGTAAACATAGTAGGTATGACATATCTGTTGAATTCGCGTGGTAGTGCCTTTACTACTGCGAGGAATTGTGCACGTGTGTCGATCACGCCGTACTCGTAGAAGTCGGCTTCTGCGTATCAGAACCAGGCTTTGATGTTGTCTGGCCAGAAGGGCATCAGTTGGAACGAAGGTGAGGACATAGTCTTTAACTTAAGCGCCTTGGGTGTCTGTTCCGTCATGATGCAATATCAAGTACGGGAATGAACGAGTGAGAAAAAATATATTGAAATCGGGAAAAAATATCACAATATATAAAAAAGTTAATACAAGGTAATAATATACAGAATTCCAAAAAGGAAAAGACTCACAGTTTGCAATTAGGTGTACCAGATCACGTTAGGCTCACCGGTGAAGATGCCACAGATATTTGGAGTTTGACAACGCTTTAACTAGTAACATCTAGTGTGAAGCGTACTCACCAAGTGAAATCAAAAGTCAGAAGCGAGGAGGTTCGAAGATATATTTGATAGGCTATCAATATATTGTGCATGGACTGATCCAGACTCGTTAGCGATTGCAGAGAATGTTGAGCACGGTGTTCCCACTCGTGATCTGGTGCGGATGCTTGACCGAGCGCCCTCAGCTAGGTGAGTCCATTAAAACTAATGTATACAGCATCGAAAGTCGAAGACTTACAGAGCTATCTATTTTGGGAATTGATTTACTGCTACACTAAACAGACACGAGCTTAGACAGTGAATCACCATTCAGCATTATGTTGTCATCCGCCGATGAATATACGATATAAGTCACACCGAGTAATTCAGGATATACTTCGGTAGCAAACGACAATTGCGCTTTCCAGAAGAAATATGTGCATGTATTCGCAGGTAGAGGTGGTAAACTTAAAAATTTCCTCACATGGAAAGCAGTGATCGTACCTTGTGGAAACTAATCGCAAGCTGTTAAAAGTTTAATATATTTCAATGGTATTGCGGGTAACTACTCTAGATGCTATTCCGCTCCCTCCTTTATTAGCAATTAAAGCTTCGTTATTTTGGGTTCTTAAGGAACTAGAAAAGAATTTCATTTTCTGACAGCCAAGAGCTCGCACCATAACTCAGACAGAGACCCTAGGCAACCAACAGTCTTCTTCTTCAACATGATAAAGTTTAAAATTTGATATAAAAGACCTATATTCACATTTGAAATCGAGCGAATTTAGGGGATAAGTAACTGTTATATGAACTTTCCACTGAAAATTGTGAAAAAGTCTTGATAAGCTTTTTAACAGAACCTAGGGCATTGATTTGTTTTAAAAGCTCAATAATTGATTGTACTTATTTAGCATTACTTTGAGCCACGATTGTCTTTTGTTAGACCATCTGAAAAACATTTGTTCATAATGATTTATCTTCCTTTACCGCACACAGTATAATTTCTATGAGATGAATAAAAACTATCCTCGCGAAATACACATCCAAAATGGGAAAACTATACACAATCGAAGTGCTTTGAGTAATGGCAAGGAAGAAAATAGCAAGTTAGAACGAAATTTAACTATCCACTGGTGCGAATCTGAAATGTCTTATCATGAGCTATCCCGTGAATATACTGGGGTCGATATACGCAATAACGAATTGCAAAATAATAATTATCTTGCTGAACCTGGTGGCCAATTAAGACCTGCAATCTCAGAAGTTGAAGGGTTGGACAGATACGCTAAACAATGCTTAGAAGAGAGATCTGTAACACCACCTGAAAGAAATGGCTATATGAATGTGAGTTTAGTACCTTGATGTTAAATTAGCTACTAAGTTTATACTCATTACTATCATATTATTCACTATTCATATTCTAAATTTCGTGTTCTCTTGTGATCTATGACCTTATGTTTAGTGAAATAGTCATTGTATCCGAATCGAGTAATCTCCGACTTCTACTTTTAGAGTGAAAATATATGTCTCGATTATCATTCTGTAGGACACGGTAACACAAATTTACATTTGTGAGAGTATGTTCATCATTAATATTAATACATAGCCTATATTTAAGACAAATCCTAATATTAATGTACTAATTTTTGCAGCGATTGCAACTCAAAAATAATTTACAATACAGCCATAGGGTCGAAATGAAGGATTTTTGGCAAAAAGAAGAGAGTTGACAGTTGGGATGCCTAATCTGTAAATAATAAATAATAGGCGGCGTATGCTTTTGTTGCATTGTTTTACATATTATTGAAAATGCCGCAGTTTGGATTATTTGACTGTGGGTATAGAACATCTCTCATAGAAACATTGTAATAATCGTTGTTCATAGTTTAAGGGATCGTCATAGGAGGTGGTCTTGGATCGAAAGGAAGAAGTTTCACGAACAAAATCTTTTAGTTTAGCATGTAAGATTTTCACAAAATGGGAGTGCTGATTTTGTACAATGAATTTACTTCGATAAAAGTTTCATGCGTTTCTGTTTAAGTCAGTGCTTCACTGGTAACGAACTGCATTCCGCTGTTAATGATGAAAAACAGGAAAATAATCTGGAAAGTTCAAACTTCTTGCGGACAATTAACTAAATACGACATGAAGTTGCTAATGGTTGAACTATACTTTGTAATTTGCACTGACTTTTAGTAACCCTATCATATTGTTGGAAACGATGCATATTTACTCTTCTTTGATTATGAGTATTCTACAATTATCTATATTTGTATTTTGTCCAAATTGTATGCAAATCAATTAGTTTAAGCTTGGCAGTTCCGCATCGCCTCTTTATCAAGAGATATAGTGCGCTTTTATATGTGTCATTAATTTTGGTCTTCTGAATAGTTCGAAGTAATGAAATATTTTTACTTATTTAGTTTATGTCTCTACAATAATTAGAGACATTTTTTACTCTAATTTATCTAATAATTAATGATAAGGTAAAATATAAAAACACTATATCAATTCCTTTTTTCAGGGTCATTCAACTAAATCGGATGCTAATCACGTTTCTACAGAATCGTCTTCTTCATTTAAAAGGCATCCTACTCATAAAAATGATCAAAAAAATGTACAAAAGCAACCAGAAAGCCTGACAGTTTTTGAGAAATTATGTCAAAAGTTTTCTAAAGATGCAACTTATAAGAATGAAATACGTGCTGGAAAACGATTGGGATTTTATCGATTTGTTCTGGATATTGGAAGAGGGAACTTCTCAAAAGTCAAGCTGGCACTTCATAGTTTAGTCAATAGTAAGTTTGGCTGTTTTGAAAAAAATGAATACGGTATTTTTCATTGTCTTAGTATGCAGATGTTTAAAAATAGTTATCTACTGTTCAAAAACAAATCAACTTTAGCCATTTCAAATATGAATATATTGTAATCAGTTATATACCCATGTCTACTAATCATTGTAGATAACGATAATAAACCTAAGGACGAAAAACACCACTGGATCACAACTAAAATAACATTCAAGTTAGGCTCTACTAATTTTCGACAGCTTCTGAATATCATATAACACATGCAGTCACGACTAATGACTAGATCAAAGAAATAAGCCAGTGTATTTCAGTTATATGTATTAAACTTTGTGAATGTATTTTTGCTAATACTACCAAGACAATACCTACATGTTGACAATTCGGTTTTGAAATGGTTGTAAACTGAAACACAGTTAATGTCAAATGATGCTTTGTAACAATGGCATTATATGCATCAAATATGACTGTTGTTCTAGTGCTTTAAATAATAAAGCATCATAAGTTGTTCATATTCGATGAAGTTTTTGACATTTTATCACTAAAGTTGGCAATGACAGTCAGCATTCAGGATCTTCAGGTCTTTTTTTGTGTAATGGCATCAGGCAAACAGTTTAAAGCTCAAAAGCGGCAGTAATAAAAGCCTCTAATAAGTTTCTTTGGTGTTTTAGTGGCAATAACCGAAAGCAAGGGGCTTTCAATACCGCAGATAATAGTTTCCCATTAATAAAAAAGCGCCTCTTATTTTTCACTTTAAAAATAGATAGTTGACCACTTTCGCATTCACCAGTATTGATATTTTAAATGACAACCTTACTAATGAAATATTAGAGACTATCTTAAATGTAACCTACTTACTGACTTACGCCTGTTGCTTTTCATCGAGGAGCATAGGCTGCCCACAAGCATTTTCCATCCAACTCCACCGTAGGCAATCCTTTACATTTGCTATTTATCTTCTTTATGTCTACTTCCGATTCTTAGCGCAGTGCGTTCTTTGGTATTCTTTTTTCCGTTTCTCTTTAGGATTCCAAGTTAGCGCCAGCCTTACTATGCAGTCTGATGATTTGCCCAATGTATGTTCTATCCATCTCCATCGCCCTTCCCTAATTTTCGCTTCTGTAGAAGCTGGTTTGTTCTCTCGTACAGTAGGCTGTTGCTGATGGTATCCGGTCAACAAACATTCAGTATCTTATGTGGACAATTGTTTATAAATACTTGTAATTTCATAATGATGGCAGTGGTAGTTCATGACGTTTCAGCTCCATACAGTAGAACTATCTTCACGTTCGTATTGAGGACTGTGACTTTGATATTGGTTAGCAGTTGTTTTGAGTTGTATATGTTCTTAGACTGTAGAAATGATGTCCTTGTTATGCCAATCCTTGCCCTTACGTCTGCACTAGATCCTTCTTGTTTTTATACGAGGCTGTCCGAATATGTAAAAGTTTATACCTCTTGCAGAAGTTCTCCATCAATTGTGAATGAATCGCTGTTCTCTGTGTTGTGTTTGAGGATCTTGTTTTTTTCTTATGTATGTTGAGGCCCATCGATATGGAGGCTTCTGTTACATTAGTTGTCTTGACCTGCATTTGCTCGTGTGTATAGGATAGAAGGGCTGAGTCGTCTGAGAAGTCCGAATAGTCAAGTTGCACAAAAGCTTATCGGTGTGTTCCGTACTTCCCCTCAGATATGTAGGTCTTCCTAAATCTTCAATGTGACGCTTCATTTAACTTTAAATACCTATACCATAGCTTAGCATGGAGTTAGGATGTCTATCGAAGTAGCTATTTATTGCTACCATATATTGATAAAATTGTAACTATAAATAATTTTAATATTGGTAAACCATTGCCATAAACCTCTGATTGTACCTTTGTGATAAACCTTGTTTAGAGTAAGATAGGTTATTGTGATTAAAAGCACCACTTAATTATTTTTCCCTAAAATCTATGTGAATAGTACAGATAAATAAACATACATCTCGAGTTATTTGTTCTTTCCTGCTGGTTAACCTCGTGAATTAGAAAATCATCTATCTATAAGAACCAAAACAGTATGATTTAGCGGGGCAACAAACTTAATTTAGCCTTATAATATTCATCAATATGTCACACATGGAATCATGTAATTAAATATTAAGTGATCGATCTATTTTAACCTATAGCGTTACTGGTATTATACACTAGCTAAACTCAGGCATTAGCTAGCATATTTTTGAAAGCATGACTGAACTATTAAAAGAACTATTGAATCATTACTTTCAGTTGACACTCAGATTCAATGGAATGACTGTTTGAGTGTCCATGGAACGTAATACATGATGCTTTTCTGTTTCTTTGTATGTGAACTATACAAGCCACCCATAAAGTAAACTTCCTTTTAGATATTTCGTAAATTTATTTTTCCAAATGGTTACTCATGAAAATAATAACATTTCAAAGGGTTTTTACTTAAAAATAAATTCCGTTTTACGCGAAAAGTTATCTACAAGCAAGTAAACCACAGTTAATCTCTATTGATGAAATAAATTTTATTCGAAAGTGACTCCTTTTTTTTTGTTAGTTATTGTGAGAAATATAAATGGAAGGGCCTTGATGAGCGCAAAGTTACATAGTGAGATTACTGACAAACGTGGAAAAGTATCAACACTGATTGAAATCAATACACTTGGTCAGTCGCAAACCCTCACAGGAACACGTATTGCGCAGTAACGGACTGTAGATCAGGGTTGAGGCGGCTTAGGAAGTTATTCTCTTAAGATGATTGTTAGTCCCTAGAAAAAATGATACATATCTGGCCATTTTTCTTTGCGAATGTCAGACTAGCGGTAAAACAACAAGGATAGGGTCGTATCAATGCGAAAAGTATTTTTTACAAGGTTAACAATAACTGCAGATTCTAGCTAACAGCTGACATTCATAAAATATGAATGTCAGCTAGAAATTAAAAACATTTATTATAAGTGCGAGCGAGCGATTTTAGAAGTAAGGTCGATTAAGCTCACTGCTACTTAAAACATTATTAGGAAAATTAATTGCATCCCGGTTAAGTGACTTGAGAAAAAGTATGTAATAAACTTAACATTGTTAGACTACTGCGATGGTAATCAACCCAGAGTAACAATAACGTTTAATTATGAGTTTGAAATGTTATAATTTATATGATGGTATACATTATACTGAACATATCAGGGGTAAGTAAATTTCTGTCTCTACATCAGTGATATAGATGGATCAACCCATAGTGATGATCAATAAAGTTATTGTCAGTTGTATTTATTATTTTGTATGAATTTATGGAATGCTGTAAAAAAGCCTAAACAATCTCAATTAAATCAAATAATCACTCATTCTTTAAATCCACTTATGCTATGATGAGCGTATAAGTAATTTAATTAGCCAAGGTTATCATAGTCTCATAAATATTGTATTAAAAGCTTGAACGAGAACATATTTTTACATAAAAGTAGGTACGGTTTGTGTGTTCATAATAATATGATAAAAAGTTTATGGATATATGTGAATTCGGTTATAACATTTTCATCACAGAATGTTGCATTAACTGAAAAACCACTTAAAACCACTAGGTATCAGGTAAGTTAGTTTTCATAGTTTGGAACTCATCTGAAGTGAAAGACTATGAATTCTTGTGAAGCTTTATGGTTTGTGATAGTTCTTGGTTTGAGGTCGCTCATCGGAAGAAGTTATCTTTAGATTAAATAGGTCTTGAAAAAAATATAAGTAATTCATACGACTAACTATCTATTCCATTAGTAAATAGTTTTAACTCAATAAATACACATTTTAAAAATAATAATGACCGGATGGCTAAAAATGGAAGATTATTAAAGTCGATAAATAGGTGAATTACAATAGAATGATCTGTAATATAACAATTTTAGGTCAGTCGTTGTGATATTGGCATCTAAATCAACACCTCAACCAATAAGAGAACATTCATCTAAGAGGTTTTTACAGATTGTCCAGTTTTTTTTCATCACTGAGTGATTTTATTCAAGATATGATTGAAAAACGGAAGTCACTAAACAGCTTTGACTTGCTAGTATGATACCTCTCCTCACTGTTCATAAACGACACTAGGGATCTAACCAAGGACCTTTTGGGCTCTCAGTGAGTATTCGGCTTTCAAACCATTAAGTTAGAATCCAACGATTCACATAATTTCACTTAATTCTTCATAGTGCTACGGTATTATCTTTTGTCATTGGTGATAATTTTCTTACGGTTAATGAGTTTTGGATCCCCACTTCTAAGGCGTCCTACATTAGTGCTAAATAACTGTGTAAGGTTTTCCGCCTTTCGGTGGTTGTCTGATTAAACCCAGTCTATGAAACAAACTATATCAGGATAATTGTTGTATTCTACATAATTTTTAATTCACAAAAGAGCAATTCAGTAAAATAATTTTAGATGTTCTACTCTTCCTTATATTGTTATTTGAGTTTCAAATTTAGGCTATTCTAGACAAAATATTCCATGAAATTATGTAAAAAAGTGATCATCTCAGTAGAACTTGTATTTATGTACACGATTTCATAATAGGCAAGCGCAAAACAGATAAAAATTAAACATTTTAGGATACAATGACAGTCTTTTCATTGTTCCATATGCCTAGGTGCATAGTAAAATAACAAATCGAGACTCTGCTAATTTTTAATTCACTGTTTTTGATGAATTATATTTGTATATATTCATTTTTCGCATACATCACAAAACATGAATTTAGTTGTCTAGGTGATTTTATTTAACAATAATAAAATGAATAACAAGTAAAAGTACCTTATTAAAAGTAAACAATATTATTTTTTTCATATTTAACAGATATAAATAACTTGAATAGGATAGAATTTATAATCATTCATATATTATTGAAAAAAATGTAACTTTAAAACATTGTTCATTAAAAAGTATCGCTTTAAACGGTAGTGTATTCATTAGTCTGGGTGATTTGATTATGTGGCTTTCATA